AATCCTCTAGAAATTCTATCAGAATCATGCTTTCTGGTTTGTGAAAGAAAGAAAGATTATTATTATTATTATTATTATTGTTGCTGTTGTTGTTGTTGTTGTTATGACTATGTAACTTTTGTGACATGGAAAACATCTTGTCACACAGCAAAATTACTTAAACCAAGGCAAAAGAAAAAAGGTGATTTGGTGAACAGTTACAGGATCTATGATTATACACACTAAAAAAATGGTGTAAACAATTTTCATTTAGAAATTGCTAGTAATTTTCGCAAGTAACATATTGAAATAAACATGAAACTTTAAGGTGGAAAGACAGAAATATTTTCTTGCACCCTGATAATCTTTGATTTATTTACAGATATGAAAACATATTTTACAGTCCACTTATACATATACATTTCGAATTAAAATCAACACGTTTTGCAATAGTACCCCTTATCAGGGTTGCTTTGCATTAAAGCAGATGAATGATTGTAGCACACTTCACTTTTTAGGTATTGTAAGTCACTGTGCTCTTGGTTTGAATAGAAGAATATGTGCTCTGATTTTTTATTTCACTCTTGGTGTGAATAGACTTGAAGGGCCTTTTCCCTGCTGTTGGGCCGCCAAGCCAAAGGGCACACCTTACTGTCCATTCACACACAAAGACCACATTGAGTCTGCAGCGCTGGTCTGTGAGTCTTGACCTGTAGCCCTGAAATAAACCTTCAAAACAACAGCTGTGGTGAAGGAGGGGTGAGAGCTGGGCCTGTGGCCATGGTCACGCATGGAGGCCTGCTGTTCTTCAATTGAGATGACCAGATCCCTCCACTTACAACAAATGGGATATTTTGAAATTAGTTCTATGAGAGATGTTGGGTCAGGATATGGAGCATTTTCTGTATTGTCTTTCTTTTTAGTGTAAATATGATCTATCTATCTATCTATCTATCTATCTATCTATCTATCTATCTATCTATCTATCTATCTATCTATCTGTCTATCTTTCTATCTATCTGTCTGTCTGTCTGTCTGTCTATCTATCTATCTATCAAGAATAAATAACTTGTTTTTGATTAACTCAGTATTGATTGGTGTGATGGAAACAATCATTTGTTTATTTAACCCCCTTTTAATTCTCCTCATAATATCATTTTTTTTTATCGAAAAAGTTTTATTGTATTGACATATCTTATGCACTGAAATAAATAAAGAAAGAAAGAAGTTAGGCTCTAAAAATAAACAATTTATGCCTAAAAGTTGAAACCATTTGTTTGACTATTTTTTAATTTATACATTTTTTGATTTTTGCATTTTGTTTTGAATTGTATCTGCATATTCTATATATATATATATGTATATATTATGTATAGCTGTTTTAGTGGTCAGTGTCTCTACCGTCACACTCAATCATACACACAGCCGCAGTCAAAGCTTAAAGATGTTTTCAGCTGTCATTGCTGGCTACATAAGTGGTTCTTTGTTCCCTGCATGCTGTGAACGGGCCGGTTTGAACCACTGCCGGCCTTCCCGTGGCTCCCCTCCACCCCACAGTTGACGTGAGGTTACCACTATGCCCTACCTGAATTGAGGGCCTTTGACAAGCCAGGAGACCCCACCAACACCGAGGGAGACCTGCAATTGGATCTTGAACTTCTATTCCACTACACTGTTTTCTCTGTCAACAGAGCACTTGAGAGAGTGAAGGGGCAAAGTACTTCTGGTCTTATGGTGATATGGGAGTGCAAGGACAATTTAATCCTCCACAGCCTCTTGCCCTGAGACCTTTATTACTGGTGTGCTCCTCAGAGAGGCTAAATGAATGTTCAGAGGCACAGCTGTGCGAGAGCTCAAACCAAGTTCAGTTCATGACATAAATCTGCCCTTGATTGCGTTTTATCTCTTATCTGAGCAAAAACAGCAATCCAAACATAAATATTTGTGTTTGTCTTCTACGAAACAAATTTAACGCACTTAATGTTGTTTTCTCATTGACTTTGGATCGAGCTTTTCATTGCTCCCTTGGTGTGGCAAAATATCAGCATCTCTTTTCTTTAATTAAAAGTTACAAATCATGCATATAAGAGCTTGTCCTTGTACCAGAACATTTTACAACACAGTTTCCCTTTGAAAGCAATCTTTAAAAAACTCTTAGAACTTGGCGCATTCTGACTGTATGTATGTCTCGAAAAAGATGAGATGTTTTTGGTCTCAGATGAGACAGCTTTTATTTTTGCTAATTAAATGCCTTTGATGTGTAATACATTGCCAGTGTAAGCCCTAAAACACTACAAAACAACTCAGAATCCAATGGGACATTGTGATCTTAACAACAGAGAGACTTTATTGATAACTTATGACTCTTGGGAAAAGCTCAGCACAAGTGAACCAGCGAATCAAGAGGGACACTTTTAGTACCAACATAAAAGCAAACTCCTAACACCAGTGCTGAGAACGGAGCAAAACGCTGATTATTCCTGACAGAAATATCTTTGTAAGGGCACGTAAGCTTTTAGAAGCCTTTAGAACCTCTAACATTTTGGAGGATCATTTACCTGCTCACAGTATTTTGTGACACTCTAAAATGTACTTACAGAAAAATAGTGCAGAATATTTGTCTCATTATAGATTAGTGTGATGCCTGGAAATAATCATTTGTTTATTTAATTTCATTTAATCAAATGGCTTTTTGCTTTGAACTGAATCAACATATTTTATAAATAGTCATAAACAAACAAACAAATGTGTTAGGACCTAAAGATAAACAATTTATCTTGTTTTAAATTTTGTTTTAAATTTGACCTACAAATATTATACATTACCACAACTAAATAAATAAATGCTAGAACCTAAAAATTAACTATTTACTGTATGACTAAAGTTTGTTGTTATTATTATTAATATTATTACATTTTAAATACCCTCTAAATGTCCTGATAACTGTAACACCCCTGTGGACTGTTTGTTGTGGTTTCTTCCCCTTGTGTTGGTTTAGCCCGTCTAATTATTAGTTAATCACCTCATTGTGCTCACCTGTCGGTCCCTCATTAACTGCCCTATATCTGTTCCTGTCTCTTGTGTTCTAGTTGGTCGGTTATTGTGAATGTTCCCCCGAGTGTGTGTCTCTCTGCCTTGTTGTTGCGACATTAAAAATCCTTATTTTGTATCCTTGTCGTCCTCGTCATCCTGCCTGCCTCCACACACCTGGACCGTGACAGAATAACCAACCCTCAAGTAAAGTATAGTGGCGTCTTTCCCTTCGTTTGTTTTTGTCCAGCCAGCTTTTCGGGTGAGGCAGCCTTCGGCAGCGGGTTCTTGCTGCAATGTTCCCGCTACCTGGAGATGCAACCACACCTGTTTGTGACTGAGCGGGCCAAAGTGTCATTCATTATCTCGTTGCTGTTGGGACGAGCCTTGCTGTGGGCCGAAGCCTTGTGGACTGCACAGAGCCCGGGGATTCACTCGCTGGAGGGTTTTGTGAGACGCTTCCGGGAGGTATTTGGCCAATCGACCACGGAGGTCACCGTGCATGAGGAGGAGAGACCGTGGAATCCCCAGTCCAGCCCAGGAATGGCTCCCGATCCCCTGCCCGCCCTCCCACCCGCTCCGGCCTCCTCCAGCGTCACAATGGTCAGAGTCTCCCTCGCCTCCGCCTCCAACCTCCGAGGCCCGGACTCTGCCTCGGTCCATAGACCCAGTGGCTCCACCTCGGCTCCTAGCTCCCTCGCCTCCACGCCTCCGCCCCGGGCTCTCCACCTGCTCCGCCGCCATTGGTCGGCCCCCTGGAGTCGGTGGACATTGCTCCTCCCTCCGTCGGCTCCACCGTGGGCCACTATTATAGCTGTGGCCAGGGTCCCACCTGGCTCCTACTGCTCCGGTTCCCTTGTGTTGTCTCCCTGGCTCCTGCCTCCATCGTCACCTCCCTGGACTCTGTTAGCCGTCCTCCTCTTGCAAGTCCGTCCTCCGCCGACCCTCCACCTGTCTGCTCTGCCTGCCAGCCCTTTGCCTTCCCCTGTCACCATCTCACATCCACTGCCTTGTCCCCCTCCGCCCCTCCCTCTGTTTCTACGGTGCGAGGACGCACCTTCCGGGAGGGGGGAGTAATGTAACACCCCTGTGGACTGTTTGTTGTGGTTTCTTCCCCTTGTGTTGGTTTAGTCCGTCTAATTATTAGTTAATCACCTCATTGTGCTCACCTGTCGGTCCCTCGTTAACGGCCCTATATCTGTTCCTGTCTCTTGTGTTCTAGTTGGTTGGTTATTGTGAATGTTACCCCGAGTGTGTGTGTCTCGCTGCCTTGTTGTCGCTACATTAAAAATCCTTATTTTGTATCCTTGTCCTCGTCATCCTGCCTGCCTCCACACACCTGGACCGTGACAATAACAAGTTGGCATGCCATTATTGTAGCAATTTCAATTTACCGATCAATTTTAATACAAACAATTTAATTAACAAATGCACCATGATGAAATGTGACAAATACAAAAAAATGGTAAAAAGGCAACCATATGAAGTATCCATACCCCAGTGCATGTTGGGAAGAGGGCACATGGGGCCGACTTAGATTTTTCCCAAAAAAACACAAAACTAATCCCAGTCACCTGCTGTTACTTAGACTTAAAGTAGTATATCAGTATATCATAATAGAAAATCTACAAAAAAATTGACATAAAATGTTTTGGTTTTAATAAGCATAATTTAAGAATATTTAGAGTGAATGTTTTCTCATTTGTAAGGAATTACAAACAGAGGTGAAGCAAGGAAGGAGAGAGATAGCACTGAGAGCCCCAGGGACAGGTTGCCTCTAATGGCTTTTGACGCTCACTTCCGCAATTTGCCGATTAATGGGTGACAGATGCACATAATGCTTCTGTGCATGAAGCCAGCCAGGAAAGGATGGAGCGGGAGTGCTCATGGGATGAGATAATGCCTATGCGAGGAAAAAGAGTTAGGGCCCTCTTTCACCCTCTCTCAGCCTTTTTCTCCCATTGCCGCTGCCCCAGTGTGATTTCCAACAGATGTTCAGCAGACCCCTCAGCACAGAAAGAGTCGCTCGCCTCCCGAGAAATCTCTGGCTCTGGGTTAAGACTGGGGAAAGTTTGAGACGTGGTGTCAATTTTAAATCAACTGTTTATCTAAGGCCAGTGTCTTCAAACTCTGGGGGTCTGTTAAGGATCTGCAGGAGGTCTATGTGGCAGATATGCACAACATATGATTTTCTTACATAAATAATAAAAATATTCTACATATTTAAATTTTCTAAATTTTTAAATATATCAAATACATTAAATATATATTATATATACATTAAGATATAATGTACATTAATGATCTCAAGCATAATATAAGATATTTAAATACACTGTTCAAAAAATTAAGGGAAGACCTACCTAATCATCACAGATATCAGTCAATTCAGTTAGGAAGCATAAGTGATTGTGAATCAGTTTCTCTTGCTTTGGTGCAAATGAAAGTGACAACAGGTGCACTGGAGAGGCAACAGCTAGACAACCCCCCCAAAAGGGAATCGTTTTTAACAGGTGGTGGCCTAATGCTCTCTCCGTATCCTTCCTGACTGATTTGTGTCAAGTTTTGTGTTTTGTTAGGGTCCTTGTCACTCCTTGTATACATGTGACAGACGTGAAGAGTCTGGAGATGTCGTGGAGAATATTAAGCTGCCTGCAACATCATCCAGCATTTGACGGTGGGTCAGTGATGGTCTGGGGAGAAATATCCTTGGCGGGTCACACAGACCTCGATGTGCTAGTCAACGGTGCACTTACTGCCATTAGGTATCAGGATGAAATACTCAGAGCCATTGTTAGACATCTGGGTTCCACCTGGCGCATGACAATGCCAGGCTTCATGTGGCAAGAGTGTGTAGGCCGTTTCTGAATGATGAAGGAACTGATGCCACTGACTGGCCCTCACGTTCCCCAGAATCCAATCGAGAACCGCTAAGACATTATGTATCGTCGCATCTGAATCCGGGGTATGTAGAGTCTGATATTTCTAAATGTCTTAAAACTAAACAATTTATTATTGTTATTTTATTATTTATTATTGTTATTAAACCACTAAACCAAGGCCCCGTCAACACGGAAAACGCGTTTAGCTGTATACGCATACATTTTGTATCGTATAGGCGTTTCGTCCAGACGGATCTGGCGTTTTGGGAGAGTGAAAGATATTTTTTCTGAAACTGGGTCCCAGAGTGAATAAATCTGAAAACGTCCTTGCGTTTTCGTGTGGAAGCAGCCCAAGTTGTATGTGTGTGTATGTGTGTGTGTGTGTGTGTGTGTGTGTGTGTATATACAGTATATATACAGTATATATATATATATATATATATATATATATATATATATATAGACAAAAACTCTCTTATATATATATATATATATATATATATATATATATATATATATATATATATATAGTCCAAAACAAATAAAATATATTCCAAAAGGAATAAAATATTCGTAATCTATTGATTTTAGTCTTAAAGTTTAAAAGGAGCTCTTAATTGCCCCTTTTTTATAATGACAATTAATTTTGAGTGAGAACAATTTAGAATACTAACATGTTTTTAAGCACTCTCATTTTATAGCAGTGTGTGTGTGTGTGTGTGTGTCCACTGAATGCTGAGTAGATTTCCTGCAGCGAGTTGCAGGGCTCCGGATCTGAGGGCAGTGCGCCCCCGCTAATCCCCCCTTCCTGTTTTGTGTAAATGCAGCACCGCAGAGGAAGAGCGGGATTTATTTGATAATTAGGCAGATAATACCTTACAGCCAATTACCTGAGATGGGTGGGTTATGAGTGTGTTTGTGAGCGTGCAGGGCTTGTGGAAGGGGTGGCGACATCCGTATTGCTCCACACTTGTTAATGGACAGTCACTGATCCAGATTTGCAGAAATTTGGAGTCCTGTTGGCTGTTCACTGCATCTGGAAGCTAAGCGTCTAATTGAATGCTGTCAAATAAACGGGCGAGTGTTGGAATCTGGAAGAGTTTGTGGCTTTGCAGTCCTGCCTAAGCAATTTCACCCTGCGCTCGCCCCTCTACACACATAAATATGGCCATGGATCAAAGCCTGGCCCACAAAATAACATCAGTGTGGAGATGCTTCTATAATGTGGTTTGAAGAACCATAGGGTGTTTTTAAGACCAAATGACTGCGAGAAATGTTTTGCAGTGAATGACTTTTTGAGCCCTGTAATCTGATCAATTTTCTTTCTAAGCTGAAATGGAAAAGAAAGCAGTGTGTTCTAAAGGAAAAGACTGATTTCCTCTGCTAAATGAGTCTGTGAAGGAAGTTCTTTGTTTATTTTCAGCTGTAAATGAGATATCCTGTCAGCACGACATTTGCCTTGGCCTTCACACCTCTGTTTATTGCTATCTGTAGGCAAAGGATCCCCTGCAAGTACACTATGCTTAGAAGAACATCCATATCAATTGGATATTTCCAGAGATATAAGGAGGAAACATTCATTGAGACAATGAGCCGATTGCTTTATTGAAAAAGGAATCATCTGGTCTTAGGGACAGTCTTAAACAAGAGTTTTCACACTTTTTTAATATATAATACCTAATATTATGAACCCTTTGTGAGGGACCCGTTTCCTAATATATATATATATATATATATGTTTATTTAAGGTCTGATTACACTGTATAATAAACATATATTATGGTAAGATATATTGTTATCATGCTAAACCTTGAAAAAGTTTTAGTAAGTTGCCTGTGTATCTTTTTCCATTCACTTTTTTACATGTATAAACCTAAAGAAAAAATATTTTGGTAACAATTTAGTATAGGGACCAATTCTCACTATTAACTATTTGCTTATTAGCATGCCTATTATTAACATAATAAAGCACTTATTCTGCATGACCATATTCTACATCCCTAATCCTACCAAATCTCTAAACTCAACAACTACCTTACTAATTATTAATAAAATTAGGAGTTTATTGAGGCAAACTTTGTAGTTGTTTGTTAATAGCGAGAATTGGATCTTAAAATAAAGTGTTGACCAATATTTTTCAATTCAGTTCAATTCAGTTCAGTTCAAACTTGTGTGGCTTTTTTCCACACACACACACACACACACACACACACAAAACAAACTTCAAAGAGTCAGTCACAAATATAGTTTTGTATAGACATATATATACAGTATATACTATATATACATATGTTAGATTTATTAGATTTTCGGTTTTGTTCATATATTGGATTAGCTTTTTTATATACAGTGCTTCTTGAAAGTTTGTAAACCCTTCAGAATTAAATATTTCAGCATAAATGTGACCCAAAAGATCATCAGATTTTCACACAAGTCCTGAAAGTTGACAAATAGAATCCAATCAAACAAATGAGACAAAAATGTATACTTTGTCATTTATTTATTTTGGAAAATGATCCAATATTACATATCTGTGAGTGGCAAAAGTATGTGAATCTCTAGGATTAGCAGTTAATTTGAAGGTGAAATTCCCATCTGTTCAGAGGTGTTTCCAATCAGTGAAATTACTATCAGGTGTCAGTGCGTGCCCTGTTTTATTTAGAGAACATGGATCTATCAAATTCTGATCATGTTTGTGGAAGTGAATCATGGCAAGAACAAAGGAAATCTCTGAGGACCTCAGAAAAAGAGTTGTTGCTCATCAGGCTGGAAAAGGTTACAAAACCATCTCTAATTAAGAGTTTGGACTCCACAGACAGACAGATTGTGTACAAATGGAGGAAATCCAAGACCACTGTTACCCTCCCCAGGAGTGGTCAACCAACAAAGATCACTCCAAAAGCAGGATGTGTAATAGTCTGCAAGGTTGCAAAGGACCCCAGGGCAACTTCTCAGTAACTCAAGGCCTTTCTCACATTGGCTAATGTTAATGTTCATGAGTTCACCATCAGGAGAACACTGAACAACCATGCTGTGCATGGCAGAGTTGCAAGGAGAAAGTCACTGCTCTCCAAAAAGAACATTGCTGCCCATCTGCAGTTTGCTAAAGATCATGTGAACAAGCCAGATGGCTATTGAAGAAATGTTTTGTTAATGGATGAGACCAAAATAGAACTTTTTAGTTTAAATGAGAAGCGTTATGTTTGGAGAAAGAAAACACTGCATTCCAGCATAAGAACCTTATCCCATCTGTGAAACATGGTGGTGGTAGTATCATGGTTTGGATCTGTTTTGCTGCATCTGGGCAAGGGTGGCTTGCCATCATTGATGGAACAATGAATTCTGAAGTATACCAGCAAATTCTAAAGGAAAATGTCAGGACATCTGTCCGAGAACTGATAAAATGGGTCATGCAGCAAGACAATGACCCCAAGCAAATGGCAGAGTTAAAGTCTGGACTTAATCCAATTGAAATGTTGTGGAAGGACCTGTAGCAAGCAGTTCATAGGAGGAAACCCACCAACATCACAGAGTTGAAGTGGTTCTGTACTTAGGAATGGGCTATGAATTACTACAAGCCGTTGTGCAGGACTGATCAGCAGTTACAAGAAACGTTTAGCTGCAGTTATTGCTGCAAAAGAGGGTCACACCAGATACTGAAAGCAAAGATTTACATACTTTTGTCACTGACAGATATGTAACACTGGATCATTTTTCTCAATAAATAAATGACAAAGTATATATTTTTGTCTCATTTGTTTGATAGGATTCTCTTTGTCAGCTTTCAGGACTTGACTTTCATATTTATGTAGAAATATAGATAATTCAGAAGGGTTCACAAACTTTCAAGCAGCACTGTATATTTATGTCTATAGGGTGTTTTTAAGACCAAATGACTGCGAGAAATGTTTTGCAGTGAATGACTTTTTGAGCCCTGTAATCTGATCAATTTTCTTTCTAAGCTGAAATGGAAAAGAAAGCAGTGTGTTCTAAAGGAAAAGACTGATTTCCTCTGCTAAATGAGTCTGTGAAGGAAGTTCTTTGTTTATTTTCAGCTGTAAATGAGATATCCTGTCAGCACGACATTTGCCTTGGCCTTCACACCTCTGTTTATTGCTATCTGTAGGCAAAGGATCCCCTGCAAGTACACTATGCTTAGAAGAACATCCATATCAAT